GCCTTTCATCTCCAGAGGGGCCTCTCATTTCGGTAAGCTGAATGGAATTTGCATGTCTTAAGATGATAATATCTGTATGGTTTGACAGAGCGTGAGTAGAGAGGGAAAAGCGCAAGCGTTGGATTTGACGTTTGCGTATGTTCCTTTCGAAGAACATTTGGATTGGAAGCTGTCTGTCGCGATGTCATCATGCTATGTGACGGTAACGTTTTGTGTTGAAAGAGTTCATCCCAGCTTACATAATGCGTGCAGGTTTGTAGATCCAGTTTTGACAGGTCATGCACTTTATGAAATCTGGCCAAGCCATGAGCCCGACAGTGGCTTTGGAAACTGCTGTGACTTTGCAGGTATGAAGCTCCGTAGCAAAAATATATGTTACTCATTTCACAGTCCATGCATGCCAGACAAAGGCAGAAGAGGTAACAAGGCGTGCTCAAGAACAGATACTATCTCAACTAGAGAAACAGAGAAGGTATTCAAAAGTTTTTGCTACTCTTTTTGGCTTGACTTTTTCTTGCATGCAGGTTCTCTATAGATATTGATCTTGACGCTCCAAAAGTCTTAATTCCTGCACTCAAAGATGAAGGAATTGGAAAGAAAAGCCAATTGTTGGTAGACTTGGGACATTTTAATCTTCGAACACTGGTACGTGCATAAGATGCATATAAAACTTACAACATCCTTCTTCAGGGGAATGACGACGTTGAGTTCCTGAAACGAAGTCGCTACACTAAACTTTATGTATCTGGACGGGATATATCGGCTTTCTTTGTTGATGGTGATTTCGAATGGGCTCACTTTCCTGCGCTGGCCACAGATGCTGGTGACAATGCATATTCAATCTTTCCTGTACTTGACCGTTGTGGGATGTCGATTATGCTGCATATGGTGAAGCTAGTTACGACATAGTTTGTGGTTATTATGTTCCAGGCTCAATATGAAGATTTGAATTGGCCTTCAACATGCGTTGCAATTGAAGTTCCTCGCCTTGGTATCCATTTTTCTCCTGCAAGATACCTTAGGCTGCTCTATCTTCTGCACGCTCTGGAGTCGGCTGACCGTTCCAGCTCCCAGCCGAACGCTTTATCTTGGGAACCATCAGAGGCAGCTGGAGATGCACGAGTGCTTTTGTGGGGGGTAAATTGTTACTTTCCTCGTTCATCAGCATCTAAGCATCACTCATTCTGCAGGGAATTGGTAATATTACTGCAGAATGGCAGCCTTGTTGGATTGCATTGGCAGGGCCATACCTGTACGTTCTAGAGGCATAAGACTCAAAGAACAGCCCACATCAATGCATAAGCTCTCCTCAAAGGACAGGAGGAAAGCCTCCTCTACCCTGGAAATCCCAAGCTTTTTTGGAGAATATCACACTCTAGAGTCTCTACTGCAATGAAAGGCCCATGACATATTTGAAACTCTCGCTTAAGCATCTTGCATTGGAGATTTCCCTTGTGGCCAGAGATGAGTGCAGTGATGTTGTGAGGTTTATTTATGATGCACTTGCACTGGACACACTTCTTCCAGTAAAATCTGAACCACATGACGTACTCTAGTCTAGATTCACATGCTTCTTGTCGAAAAATGAACAAGGTTATGAGTAAGTGATTTGCTAGTCATTATTGATCAAAGTGATTTTGAAAAAATGCTTTGAATGTGGAGTAGTTAACTATGTTTGCCTCCAAAAGAGTTTTTTTCCATGTTACTTGGCCAATGAGTGATTGCAAAAAGTTGTAAAGCTTGTAATCATCCTTGCCAATGCTATTTGATGGACAATATTGTTCAAAGTGAGTGATATATGTTTTGGCAAAGATGTCACCATTGCTAAATAAGTATGGCAAGTTAATGCCTTGCTATAAAATATGGATGTGCATGGGGAGAACCATCAATGGTATACTCTTTCACTTAGTATCTATGGTAAACAATGTTTCTTTCTTGCTAGAAAGAGCATTTTGGTAATCTAGCTTGCATAGAAGGTGTGAAAACATCCCTATATCCTATGCATTATATGAAAGATTACTAGCTGCCATCTCTGGCTTAAACAAGTTTGAACTAGCATAAAGTGTCTAATATGTAGTAAATGCATTAAAGAATTTTAATTTGTGTGAGAATAAAATGTCCAAAATGGGATAGTTCCAAATAAATAAGCAAACTACTGTGGATTTCCCCTAACCAAGATTGTTGTCCTTTTGCAAATCTCAATTCCTCATAAAGAAAAGAGAAATTTAGCTATAAAATTGAAGAAAGATATGAAAGATATCATGAAAGAATATAGATATAGGATATCACCTAAAAACAATGGAATAAAAAACAAAGAAAACAAGCTATAACACTCAAAATGTCTCAAAGTGAATATAATTTGATAGAAATCTCTCAAACTCTGGCTACAAAATTTGATATAGACTCATTAAAAAAACTTATATTTAAACAAAGAGAATGAGATTAAAAAGATGGAGCTAAAACACCAAAATGCCTATAGAAAACTAATTTAAACATTAAATTTATAACTCATGTAATTATGGGATAAGATTTGGATATATTATTATTATGAATCTTTGGAACCTTGAGGATCCATTTAGACACTTTCCCCATCTCAACACACACATTTTGAGTCTTCAAGTGATAAATATGTTAAAGGCTATATTATCAAATAATTTCCCCTTTTTTAATTGGTTGGTGAAATTTTTTTTGCTACCTTGGAGTTAGAAAATATATGGTGCTTGCTTCACTTAGATTAGGATCAACTTATTGTAGTTAGTGATGAAGCACAAGTGAAAGATCATGAGAGGGAGACAAGTGGGAGATTATTTCAAGCTTAGATAGAAAGTTTGATGATTTACAAATGAAAAAAGTCTATATTAATGGGAATAATAGTATATAGATCCTTGAATTAAATTTATTTTTATTAAATAATTGCCTTTTCTCCAGTAGACTTAAATAAAATATGTTACATTTGGTTAGCATGTGTTGAAAGAAGGGGCACAACATTCATACATAGAAGAAAAAATATTTAAAAAAAGAGGGGCACATAGGAGAAATATAAAGTGGAAAAAAAATATTAAAAAAAAGAGATAAAAAGAGAGGAAGATGTTACCAAGAAGAGAGAAAAAATATTAAAAAAAGAGGAGGAAGACTTTTAAAGAGGATAAAAAATATTAAAAACGAAGGAGAGAGGAAAAGGCCTATGGC